ACGCGCGATACACGGCGGATGAGCTGTGACGGCAACGTCCGCCGTCGTATGTGTGCTCATACGTTAAGGCAAAATGAGCAAAAAAGTCCTCCGCCACTTTGCAAATGACCACGTAGACTTTCAGTTATTAGTTAAAAAAGATCGTCGCGAGCAATCCACTTTGATTAATAACTAAAAATAACTAAAAATAACTACGTAGTCGCTTGCAAAACAGCAGAAGACTTTTTCTTTAGTTTGATGAGTTCTATCTGCAGGCTTCATAACGCGACTTCATGACGAATCGCCGAACACTCTGTATGCAGCGGGAAACGAGATAGAGACGAGAGACTCGAAGTCTCACTTCTCTCGGGCACACAATATATGTACGCGTATCAATAGAATATTTGGGTTAACGAAACTAAAATAGTAATGGAAAACGTTCAAGGATCTCCTTAAGAGATGTCAACAAATAAAGAATTTATCCTATATTCGCGCGCGCGATCGCGACCCGTGACATTGAAGCAGTGCCAAATATCAATGTTAAATCAACCGCCACGCGACATCTTAGACTACAAAATGTCACACGTGTGACCCCGTTTTACAAATTTATATTCCATATTTGAATCGGCTCGCGGCGGATTAATATCGAATCAGCGCGATATATCGGCGCGCCCCGAGTCGCTCGCGATCAATAATAGCGGCGGCGCGCGACACAGGGAGGATGGATTTATTATCGCCGGCTTCATTGACGATCTAGTCCCGTAGGTAGGATACCTCGCGGCTATTCTATTCCGTAAAACAGCGCGGCGAGAGCGACCGCAAATTTCCATTTTCCCTCAAACCGAGACAGGCTGTATCGCGTATATTTTCCACCTACATACACATACACGCGCACACAAAAAATACATGCAGATGAGAGAAAATATTTCGTACAACTATATATAATTACATAAAGAAACAATCATCATTATAAATTATCAGGACTGTTTTTTTTTTTTTTTTACTAAATATATGCATATCACTACCATCATTTTCGATGTTAAAGTAATCAAAAAATATGCTTAGGGCCAAAAGTAACTATAATTTTAGTTGGATCGATCATTCTTTTCTCTCAGTGTATTCAAGGAAGTATTACTTGCTTCAAATATTTCATAAATTTACATATTCGCGAATCTATCACAAGAGTTCGTCATAAGCATTAGATTTATTCAAAATACATTCTGAATCCTGGTAAGTTTAGCATCTTAATAAAAAATAATTGAAACAATAAATAAATTGAATAAAAAATTGAATTGAAACAAAAATTTGATTCATAAAGTCGAATCAACTTTTTCTACTTTTTTGTTCCATGAAATTTTGTAACATTATTGAGAAGAGAAGATATCTTTTCCTCTCTTAATTTTGGAGTACACGATAATGGGCTTCCCTAAAATTTGTGATAAGTATATTTTGAGACTATATTAAAGGAGACTACTCTTGAGAATATTCGTCGTTAAAGACAATCGTTACTCGGAAGAAAGAAGTTAAACTGAGTAATCGTTTTTCTTAGCAGTTTTTCTTAGAATGATATTTTTCTCTGTGTACACACAGCGTTACCGTCACGGTGCCGCGACTAAAGAATAGATGATGGATGACTCCGTAAGTTGCGCGGATGAGTAAATGAATTTACACGAAGGGTCATACGTATCCGATGAACACGAGAGACGCAATTCGCTCGAAAGGCGCGGATTCGCGGAGAACCATCCAGTCCGAGGGACAAACTCGCGAACACGACGCGACGAGGATGGATCAAGTGCTAATGAGACGAGGAGAGGGAGAGAGAGGGAGAGAGAGGGAGAGAGAGACAAAGAGAGAGAGAGAGAGCCAGCCGCGTTCTTCCAGAATAGATCCAATTCCGCGATGATTATAACGGCGACTATACAAAAGAACAAGCGTTCTGCGAATCGATAGATCACCGTCGACGTCGTCGTCGACGGTGCAGCTTTTTCTCCGGCACGTCGTTGATCCGACGCGGGACGGTGTTTTACAAATTGGAGTTCCGTTGCAGGCCTGTGTGACGCGCACAGTGGGCGGGAGAGCGGGGGGTGAGGGGGAAAGCCATTAAGACCTGCGGAAAAATGGCACGTCGGGAAATCGCTGGCGGATAGTCGCCCTCGCGAGGGAGCGAGCGAGCGCGCGAAACCGTGCGAAGGCTGCGACGAGGTCGACTCCTGGGGAATGCGGTGGCGATTCGTCTCGCGACGAACTCGCGCGGACGGAAGGCGCGATCGCGATCGTTTGCTCGGCCCTCTCTGAAGTTCGCGTGCCTTCCGGCGACGTGAATCTATTTTCGGCCGCGATACGCGAAATCATTTTCCTCGGTGGCCCCGTACGCGCGCGCGCGCGCGTGCATACACACACACACACACGCGCGCGCGCGCGCGCGCACACGTACGCACACATTCGACTTCCTCGCCGTGGTAGTCTGGAATAAAAGTTCGCGTGTCCCTGCGAACACGCGAACGGAGAGCAAAGCGAGAACGGAGGAGAACTCGCCGTGTGCGTTCTCTCGTCGAGAGAAACTTTCATCGTCTGAATGCAACGTACGGGAAAACGGATTTTACCGGTCTCTGCTCTGTGTTCGGCAGGTGCACTCGAAATATCTCTCCGGCCGTGGAATAATGCACACTTGGCCGTGTGTTCGCGCGAAAGTGAACCGCGCGCGTGTACGTAATAGTACATTTAATTGTGATCGTAATCGTTCATTGCCTCGTGCGTTTTCGTCAAATCCGCGTCCCCCTCTTTCGTTTAAAACGCAAAAATGGGCAAAACAGGCTGGTCGAACTGGCCATAGTCATGCAAGAATGACTCAAACCACACAGATATGATTTTTTTATTTCTGTTACCAATGCATAGTCCACACGTCTTCCTAAATAAATAAACTCAAGCCTTATGGGCGTCTAAAATTCATTAAAAAAACAGCTTTCATTTTCTAGTAGTTGCGCCATTTCTATATTTCTGTAAGGGTTAAACTTATCAATGAATACTCTTGAAGAGAAGAAAATTTAACATGCTTGACTTCTGGAACAATTACGTAAAATCGCGATACTAAGACTATCCATATTACTATGCCTGTTCTTGTTCTTTTGTATTGTACGTAAATAAGCCATAAAAAACTAACACAAATAAGTAGAAAAAGGATTTTCTATTAAGTTTAATGCTTTAACTTAATTTTTAAAAATACTTTTTCTATTTATTTGTGCTCTTTTTATGGCTTATTTAAATAGAAATAGGCACAATAATATGGACAATTACGCTATCTGTACTGTTTAAATCATGTATCAAGTTTTCATCTTCATTCTTCTCGAAACGTGTGGCTTGAACCATTCTTGCGTAATTACGACCACCTAACGTGACAATTAACGTACTAAACGCGTTTTTGTTGGAGGAATTAGAATTCCTGGCCATTAGAACCGGGTTTAGTTCACAAGAAGCAGAAGTTTTGTTTCGAAACGAAAACACGTTCGTTCGTTAGTTTGACTCTTCGAGTAGAAATCAGGGTCACTTGTGTCACTCGGCTATTCTAAGAAGTGCTCGTTTCTTGGACTGTTTTTGCTTGTAAGTTATCAAAATTCTTAACAATTTCATTTCGCAATAAAACTATGTAGTCTTTAACCAGAAGGACAAAGGAAGTTTCAATATTTACAAAATAAAGCAAAATTTGTCCGTCGCTCCCCGATCATGTAATGCGCGTTGAAGGTTCAACTCGCGTTGTCTCGATCTTACTCACTTGACATTAACAATTATCAAGACTAAGTTGTCTATATCCGTTCTCACAATATTACATCGCTGAAGAGGGGTTCGGACCGACTATATTGATTTGTAATCGGAAGAAAAGCATTATTAACATTTACTTATTATAAGCTTTAATAATATTTGGGAATTTTTTCGAACATCCCGAGAAAAGAAAAATCGAGGAAGACATTAATGATACTGATTGCAATTCCGCGAAAGTAGCGAAAACATTATCACTCGGAGAGTTAAATGAACGAACGAATTAAATGGTTAGATAAGACAGGATGTCTGCTTCTTACGAACCAAACCCGGTTCTAATGACCAGGAGAATTCAGACATTTTTCTGCGTCCGCGGACTCTCATTAACCCTTTACGGACGCGTCTCAGGATATTCCCGGAGCAAATTACTTTTACCGTTTCAGACATGTTGATTTGAATATCCCAACGCACTCGTTACCAACCGTTTGTTTCCGGCGCGCGTCAAAACTTTTTGTATAAGATGTAATTGAAACATATATTTATTGTCTCCTGACAATACTGCGTATGGTCATTTAAGTTGTTAAAGCTCATTGATAAATTTATGCTTCAATTACGTTTATAAAGGATTAATTAGATCCTATTTGAGCTTAGCACCAGCTGAAAGACGAGCTTTTTGGAGAACGTGTCCTCAGATTTGTTCAGTCCGACGTTATTGTATCCCGAGAATTCTTTTCGCGCGACACACGTGGCGTCAACGTGTCGTATCGGCGGCGCAGGGGATGCACGTCTGTTGTATTTTGCAAAGTCGCGCGTCATATTAGTAAGTAGCCGCAGGTAGCGGCGTCGTTAAACTTCCTTTTGGAGCGCGCGTACACGTGAACGACCGTAGCACGAAATTGGCCGACGTTCCATTACACGTCGAAAATCACGTGGGCGGTCGCAGAGGAGCGTAAGTACGTTCACAAGTCGTACGATACCGCTAGAAAAACGACTAATCTACATCGCCGAGAGCGACAAGAGCTGCTCTCTGAGTCGCGAGTCAAAGTCGCAATGACCTCTGACACGTCGATGTTCGCGCACTGTCGACACGATTTACGATCTGGGAGCACACGGAGCCTCCACCACCGGCGAAATCGAATGACAACGGACGGGCGAAACGTGAAAGGCGCACGTGCGCCTCGACGCGAGCGAGCTTCATGATTTACAAGAAAATATAAAATAATATAGAGAGAAAGAAAAGAGAAATATGTGAGAGGGAAGAGACTCACTTATACGCAGGGGAGATTCAGCCGATGATCCCGGACTTTCATCGACGGCACTGTCCCGCGACGGTGAAATTTAATCGACCTCCTGGATCCTCCACCTCCTCCTCCTCCCGCAATTCCGCACCGCCGTCGAAATCTCGAGCACGCAACGGAAGCACGTGACGACGGGGGTTAAATGGCCTTCCACGTGAAACGCTCGCTCGGTCGGCTCTCCCTCTTTCTTCCCCTTTTTCTTTCTTACAACGACGATGGGTCCTCGCAACGCGACGGTCGCAACGAGACTGAATCGCCGCCAGTCCGCTGCTGCTCCATCCAGCCTGGAAACAGCTGCTCTCCCTGCCGGTGCCAGAAAACCGCGCTGGCCTCTCGCTCTCTCTCTCGCTCTCTCTCTCTCTCTCTCTCTGTCTCTCTCTTCTCCCCTCTCCCTCTTTCTCTCTGTCGCTCTCTTTATCGGCGGCCGTGAGTCTCCTACGGCGCGCCAAGTGCATCTTTCCGCGATGCCTCCCTCTCGCACCTCTCTCGCATCGGTGCAAACCTGCCGGTAGGCCTGGCAGGGGGTGAGTAGGGAGTAGCGCGGGGGCGGGGGACGGGGCGAGCCGAAGAAGTCCCGCTCCTACGCGAGGTAACTTATCGGTGCACTCTATCGCGGCGGATTCGTTACGGCGGCGATGACGCGCGTGGGAGATGACGAGCCGAAATCGGCATTTCGCGTTACGCCGCTTCTTTTTTGCATTCCCCATTTCGCACTGCGCACCCCCGTTGTATTTCGCGCAGGCGATCGCGCCTGCGGCGATCCCCCGTGTAACCTCGGCACTGGTTTTCCTCGAGTGGCTCGAACGTGGGACGAACGCGCGGCGAAATCGATCATTTCGGATTCCCCCGCGGTGTCGCGGATCACACCGGCGTCGTTTCACGCGTGAGATCATTCATTCGGATGGTCATCGCCGAGACGACGTTATCCGGCTGGCCACGGCGATGCGTGCGCAAAACGCGCGGCTCCGAGCGAAGGATGCAAGAAAAAGAAAGGAAACAGCAGAGGGTAACCACTGTGGTGCGCGGCCAGACAAATTGCGCCTCGCGCCGTCATTAAAAGCGGTATCAGCCGAGAGCGCTAATAATCGTAAACGCGTCGACGACGACGATGACGGCGACTCCGACGTTAAATATCAACGGTAAATTAGCGCTTCATGCAAAATAAGGGTATCAAAGCGCAGAGCCGCGGACGGGAGGAGAAGCGGCGGCGGCGGCGGCCGTAAAGCTTTTAGCGAAAATTAATATCGAAAACGGCGATACGCGCGCGTTGTGCCGCGCCAATAAAATCCCCCCCGTGTACGTGTATATGTACTCCACACCGGTTGTTTCGATTGTAAGGGCGGGGTGGGGTGGAGAGGGGTGGCTTTTATTGGCGGGACGTATTAACCGGCGACGGCGCGTCTGTCTTGCCGCCCGCTTCGTGCAACACCTCGCCGTAACACCTGCGCCAAGGCGCGTCCTCGCACCCCGCCTCACCCTGCTTCGAAATATCGCGGGGTTACGACGCTCTTGCCTCCCTCGGCCAATTCGCGCGAAATTCTTATTGCGTCCGGGCGAGTTGGTGCGCCACGTGGCGTTTGGCTATTGCTACGAACCCGCCGGGGGCGGGCAACTCAGCCGTCGATTCCGTCGCAATGGAAGCACCACCGCGCTCTTCCGGGTCCGACGATAAGGCCAAGTTCCAGGGTGCAGTCGTTATCAGCGAACAGGGGCCCATGGGACCTCGGCACGGCTGCAACGTCTTCGAGAGACACTGCGGGATGATGTATTCCGTGTCTCCGCGTCGGTGATGTAACGAACGCATGCCTGCAATTGCGATGAACGATTAGATACTTGTCTCGCTGCGGTTATGTTTGGAAGGGAAAAAACGACCCATCGATTACCGATCTGTGCGATTCACATTGATCTCGCTTGTGCTTCAGGACGAAGCTTCGTCCGAGCTGCTCGAGCGACTTCACTTGAGAAAGAGAGGGAGAGGGGGAGAGGGAAAGAGAGCTTTCGCGAGAGTTTGCCAGATACGTGGCGACGCTTCTTTATTCTCTGTAACGCAATGCGGATAAATTAACCTTTATTACCGCGTGCAACGGTGGCTTCTTTGTCGCGACGTGATATTTAGTTTATCGATTCAAAATCAGTCGAGTGTCAAGAGCACACGTGCGTCGTCATCGTCGTCATTGTCTCTCTCTTTCTCTCTCGTCCGTTTCTGCTGCCGTCGCTGTTGTTTTTCCGCGATTACCTGCAGGCATAATTACAGTTTCATAGATCATACGTAAATATAAAACTCGAGCTTACGCAATAACGACTCTTGGAAAGGAAACTTAGTCGTCAGCTTAATAGTCGAAATTTTCGCTGGGAAACTCCCGACCCGCTGTATTAATTGCGATATTAATTCGTGCGTGAAATAATACCTGAAACGCGATCGTTCGTACGCAACTTTCTCCGTTCTGGCAATTTTCTCCCGCTTCGAAATCCGCACTCGCACTAGCCAATATTCCGTTAACAATCTATATTTCAATATTATTCTGCTAACAATCTGTCGACGTTATAATATTCTATTTCTTGCGGAAATAGTGCAAGTGAAGCGCGTGGACGAGACGCGAAATTGACTCGTTTTTTTGTGCATGCGCGAACTTTGCGCCTCGAATCCGGCGTGGACTTCGTCACGAGCGCCTTTATAAACGATTAGGTCATCATCACCCTCGCGGCACTTTCATTTGCACCGACCGAGTCGCCGGCGTATATCCCGGATGCGATCATTATCATTAAGAGTCTCGCCGGGCCTTACGTCTCTCTTCCACTCGCCCCACCTTTCACCTTCCGCTCGTCTTTTTCTGAGGAGACAGGATGACCACGCGCGCCCTGTCATGGCCCACGCGACGCCCATTACGACCAATCGGCCCTTCAAATACGCGCGCTAAACGACACCGGGCTATTCTTCAATCTCGCCTTGGAATGCACGGCTCGCACAAACGGTCAGACACAATGAAATTATATTATCTACATCGTGTACACGCGGACCGGACGAATCAGCGACGCGTCGCGCGAAAACGGAAGGTTCCCGCGAGAAACGGAAGCGCGCTGTCTCGGGTTAGGGGGATCGGTGGAAATTCGTCTCGCGAGATCACGAGTCGACCGCGCGAGACGAGTCGACTAGCGATTCGTTTTCCTTTACACGTATATTCGTTCATCGATTATTTATTTGTTTACATCATATCCCGTACACATCGTATCTCCGTTTCTCGCATTTGTTTGTACGAACTCGCTGCGACAGGCCGCCGACACTTTCCCTCGTTTCTTCTCATCGATTTAACGGTAATACGTGTGCACAGTACTCAATTAATATATCATACAAGTTATACCATAAGGAATACATTATCGCAAAGATGTATTCCCCTTTTCTTGTTTCGATCACTTATACATAAAATATAAAATTACTTTCTTGCTTACACGCTGTTTGTCGTTACAGTCTCACAGTTCATGATCACACTAGATGTATCTATTTTATATACTGATGTTATGTATATGTGTGTATATATATATATATATATATATATATATATATATATATATATATATATATATATATAACATATATATATATAAATATATAACATAACATACTCATTGTATAACGTAACATATTGTACATAACATAACTGCAATATGTCGTATAAACACCTTTTCCATCGATATTGGATACCGTGCGTTTTGATGAAACTCCTTGGCCCTGTGTTATTGCTACTGTTAAGTAACTTAAATAATAATAAACATTCCTTAGAGTTTTATAAATTGCAAGTACATCCTTGGTGATAACACTATCGAAACTACAAGAGACGAATGGAAAGCGCGGATCGACGTATCATAGTTGCACGCAAATATTTCTACATGTGAAAGCTGAGCGCGAAATTACTTCACATTCGAGCCAACACACACACACAGACACACACACACACACACAACTTCTCGTGACTAAAGCGCGAGACAGTGTGTTTCCTTACCATTGTGGCACCCTTCTTTCACCCTCTGAGGGAGGGATCTCTCGCACAAAAATCATAGATACAGGTGCGATGAGAAATAAGGAATATTCTACGTAATATTTCTGCACGGGAGGAGTAATGAGTACATGTCATTTATTTACAGAATATGTGTGCACGCGCGTACGTATACAAAAAGACGGAGGATAATAAATAGCACTTGAAATAAAAAATCATTAAAATCGCGAAGTGCATAGTCATGGAGGAAAAAATAAAAAGTAATGGACTTTTAGATTGTTACTTCCACGAATACACGGCGGTATGTGATAGGAAAAACGGTTCAGAGACTGGTCGATGTGGTAACCGTGTATTGTGTGAGAAGTGTATATACTCATTGCCGTGTGTATATAAATCATGTAAAATTCAAGTTGGACGGGGATATTTTGGCACATACTGGTCCATAGCTTAATGGCACTTTCACGCCACTTCTGAAAGTGGATACATTAAACGTGACCTTTCCTTCTCCCTCCTAAAGCTGCTCTACTATATCGTGATCGCTCTTGTAAGAAGACTGCTTAAAGCTACTTTTCTGCGAATGCTCTGTCCTTCGTAATTCTCTAGCAAAGTATACTATCGTTTTCTTGAGGCCTTCGGCCAGTGGAACCTTCGGTTCCCAGTTCAAGTACTTCTTAGCTCTGCTAATATCCGGTCTTCTTCTCTGCGGATCATCCTCGACCGCCGCGAGCTCCACTATCTCGCTGGTGGCGCCCACCAAGTCTTTTATTATACGCGCGAATTCTGAAATAGATTAGAAGATGTTGGGAGAAACTCAGGGCAGATACGCGCGACGTCGTAAATACGTAACGGACGATTCTCACTTTCGATCGTGTGCTCCACGGGATTCCCGATATTTACGGGTAAGCTGTAATTGGATGCCATCAACGCCACTAATCCGTCCACCAGGTCCGAGACATATTGGAACGATCGCGTCTGCTTGCCACTACCGTAAATCGTGATCGACTCATTCTGCAGGGCTTGGAGAATGAAGTTCGACACGACGCGTCCGTCGTTCATGTGCATTCTGGGCCCGAAGGTATTGAAAATCCGCGCGACCCGGACGGAGACGCCTTCTTGCCTCATGTAAGCGTAGCTCAGTGTCTCTGCGACGCGTTTGCCCTCGTCATAGCAGGCTCGTGGACCTACAATTGATCATTTAATGATCATTAGCGTGCCAACGACTCGAGAAGAGGACAATGCGATTCTTATCGCTTCATTTGTGAAACGAATTATGTGGAATCTTACCGATTGGATTCACGTGACCCCAGTAAGTTTCCGCTTGTGGGTGTTCAGTGGGATCTCCATAAATTTCCGACGTGCTCGCGATTAATACTCGTGCGCCTACGCGTTTCGCAAGTCCTGTAACAACGACGCCGAGAACGGATTATATAACTTCACTTTACTTCGCATACGCACACAGAAAAACACATCCAAATCAAATTGTTTCAAGTATTTTGCAAGTTTACATATTCTCAGATCTATCATATACTCATGACAGGCATTTACTCAAAATTACTAAAAATTTGCTCAAAATATACTCCAAATTTTAGTAAGTCTAGTGAAGAGAATAAATTCTTAGATAATTCTTTTTTTGAGTATATAATGATGAGCTTTTCTAGAATTTGTGATATTTTTTTCGAAAGCTATTATCAAGAAAATATTGGCTGAAAATAGCAATTACTCAAGAGAAGGAGAATAATCGCTCGAGTAATCGCTTTTCTTAGCAGTAGAATGATACTTTTCTATATCTGCTCGCACGCTTCGCGAAGAAATGAGACTTACCCAACATATTTATAGTGCCTAACGTATTCGTCTTAATCGTTTTTACAGGATTCAGCATATAGTGTGGCGGACTAGCCGGGCTGGCGAGATGATAGATCTCGTCGACCTCCAGATAAAGTGGCCTCACGATGTCATGATGCACCAGCTCGAAGTTCTCATGGCCGACCCAGTGCTCCACGTTGCGCTTTCTGCCGGTGAAGAAGTTGTCGACGATTATGACCTCGTGTCCGGCCAGCATCAGACGATCGACCAGATGAGAACCGACGAAACCGGCGCCGCCCGTCACCAGTATTCGTTTCCGGTTCTTGTAATTGAGGAACTTGACCGTCGGGAAGTTCTTCGATACTCTGTTCTCGATCGCGGCCTCCAGGTGCTGCAGCTTGCCCTCCATCTCGCGGATACGCATCTTGGCCTCTTCGATGTCTTTGATATCCCCGTCCTCCTCGTCGACATTGCGTATCTTTTGAGTCACTATAACGTTCTTATCGTCCAGACCGTCGTCTTTATCTCTGCTCACTTTATCCAATCTATGGAATCGGCCGCGAATAAACGAGTGCTCCTCTTCTGTATTCACCAGAGTCTTGTAGAAACCGAATACTGCAAGAGAAGGAAACAATCATGAAAATTTATTCATATATACGTATTTCGTTACATATGCAAAAAATTTGTCGACGTAACCGTGGTTATTATTTATAATTATAAAAAAAACACGCGCACACGCGAAATTCAGAGAGAGGAATTTGATGGACGTGGTGATGAACATTGTACCGTTTTGTTATTAAACCGTTTTTGTTTTTTAAAAGTAGACCGAAAAATATAAGCAATAAGTACGCGATAGCAAAATCTTTTTTTTTCAGAACAAAAAATGACAAATATAAAATTAATTTGTTGAAATGTGTCGATCGACTGTTCAGGTTTGTTCAACGCGAAGTTTGAACTTTACAGTCACGTGTATGTGTGATAAGTGGGGGAGGGGGGAGAGAATAATAAATCTCATTATTACTATTTTTAACATATAACTTTTGGCATTGCGCGATAGTAGTAATAATAGAATCTCGCGTTATGTATAAGCAGTGACCTTCAAACTGTAGTAGCATCACGCAACATTGTATAAAAATGACAAATGCACAAAAAAGAAACAAAGATATCGAGTTTTGGAATATTACGAATTTAATGCGGAATTCGTATAATTAGAAGCGGAGATGAAGTGTCTCTACGACAAATCGAAGCGATTTTTCGCGCGAGGAAATCGCCGAAAATTATTGTAACCCAATCGGACACTCACCCACTAATACACATACCGCGAAGAGTGCAATCTGCTTCATCTTTCGTTGCGTGACAACCATGCTTTGAGTTTGCACATGACTCACTTAGATTACGCTTACGTCACTGCCGCGTTACGCGGTTGACCGATAGAATATCGCATTGTCTCGCATAATACGGGAGACTTAATAGGAGTCGGAGCCACAGTTCGGCTACTTATTCAAAATACAGAGACCAGGAAACCTAACCTCTAACGCACGCACCGCGCACCAGCCGACCTGTGTCCCTAACCTGTATGCGACGAATGATTATTGACGTACGCGCGAACGGACACGAGTGCTGCCATCTGTTGAGGCGTGCTCGCACTGCGTAAGAAAACTACGTTATCGTGCGACGATCACTTCGACGATTGTGGCGTCGCTGATGCCGGCAGCCTTGGACATGACGCGCTGATATCACTCCCCGTTAACATAACCTCCAAACTGACGCATCCGCGCGCACGCAGGCGCAGATCCTATTTTTTGATTGATATATAAGGCTGCGGCAGTACAAAGGAAACATCTCAAGTGGTTTTCCTACAGTCACGGTGGCAGTGGTATTCGAAACATGGCAGACGTCATTGATTGTAACTTTCCTGTTTGGGGCCTGCTGCCTAAGAAAGAGACGGGTGTCACTCAATTCCTCACCAAATACCCCGAGTACGATGGCCGAGGTGTCATCATCGCGATCCTTGACTCTGGAGTGGATCCTGGGGCACCGGGTATGCAGGTGAGTAAGAATTCGTGGCGTTGGTTAGAACGCAGACACGCCTCCCGACTTCCTCGCGTGACGTTCACTCCCTGCGTCCGTGGATCCCCTGATTTCCGAATGTTTGATCTTATCCGAAGATAAGATCCACCTGGATCCATAAGTGTTGTCCCAGTCGCGCGTCTCTTCGACTCCTCACGGACGCCCCGCGAACTGTCTTCATCGCGAGATAAAGTAAAAGTCATGTTGTTTAAATTTTTTTCATATGTGATTGCTCGTTCACGTATTTGCGGGAGATTCATCACTTATTTACTTTTCGAATGCTCCAATGAGAGCTCCCACCTGCATAGACCTTTCGTATTTTATCTTTCCATTAATTTTATCTTATCTGCCAGATTTTCAACAAAATTTTTATGCTTGTAGCAGAACAAATATTTGTGAATTACTTAATATAAACTATACACAAAGAGACATTCCTATATGAAGACACAATGTATTTGGGTGTCATTTCAGGTGACTACAGATGGGAAGCCAAAAATTATCGAGAGATTTGACTGTAGTGGAGCTGGAGATGTAGACACTAGCAAAGTTGTGCAAGCACCAGATGGATATATACTTGGTCTAACTGGTCGTAAACTAAAGGCATGTTTCTGGAACATATTCTGTTTAAAGACAAGAAATTAGACTAGAAGAGATTAGAGTGCAAAATTGCATTGTTAAAAAATATTTTTAATTAATTTACAGTTGTCAAACTTGATATAAACATTATATTTTCATTTCCTTCTTTTATTTGCAATTTAATATAATTTAATATAGAATGAGTATGAATTAGTTATTGTATTTGTTGTACAGGTTCCAAGTACTTGGAATAACCCTAGTGGAGAGTATCATATTGGTTTGAAAAACCTGTTTTCATTGTATCCTGCTAAACTAAAAGAAAGAGTGGTGGCAGAACGTAAAAAGCGTCTCTGGGATGATGGACATAAGACAGCACTTGCAGAGGCTTCCAGGCAATTACAGGTATCTACTGTAAACTGTCAGCAGTATATTGATAATCCCTTTACTTTCAATTAAGTATTATTGGCTTTATTCTTTGTTGCTTCCAGACAAATTTATTCTTTTAACATTTTCTTTGTGATGTAAATCTGATGATCTCACTCTGTGTGAAAAAAAAATACATTTTTCTGAAACATTATTATATATTTGCTGGAAATCAATGGAAACATCCTTGTGAGCAAAATTATAATTAGAATTTTGGTCCCTGTGATCCAAAGATAGTTGAGTGTTGGTGAGCTTGTCAAACCATGCAATTAAATGAGGCCGCTATTTCACAACACGCCACAGTGATCCGTATCTAATGCTATATTTGTATTTGGCAGATTGATCTATTGTAAAGGCATTGATTCCATTACATAATATCTGCTTAAGCAAAGCAATTATATGGGTGCTGTGTATATGTGATAGCATCCTCATTAATTTTGTAGTATTATTTTTATGGCACATGGTACTTTATATCAATTTATTGACTTTGAAGAAGTCACAAGTGTGTGACAATTTTGTAATACTCTGTTCAAATATTTCTATCTTATTAACAAATATATTACTTTAGTTTGTCATTTGATAAGCTCATCTCGATGCATGTGAAAAGTAACTGATTAATTCTTAATGAAAAATTCATCATATTATCTTCTAATAAATAATTGTATCATGTAGGAATTTGAAAGCAAGAATTCACAATTATTAACTTTGGAAGAAAAACTCGAAAAGGAAGAACTTGAAGCTCGTGTCGAAGTACTAAACAATATCGAGAAAAAGTATTGTGATGTAGGACCTACTTATGATTGTGTTGTTTACCACGATGGTAATATTTGGAGGTAATCATTCGGAATGTGTTATATATAATCCTAAGTACAAGCATATATTTATCTGAAATTTAAATTATCTTTTCTCCATGACAGAGCATGTATCGATACCTCCGAAGAAGGTAATCTGGAAGCTAGTGTCTTCCTTGGTGAATATTCAGTTACGAGAGATTTTGCTCCTCTCACTCCAGAAGATCAGTTAAATATTAGTATTAACGTTCACGATGACGGAAACACGTTAGAAATTGTCAGTTTATGTTGTAAGTACAGATGAGAAAAATTCGAATGAAGTATCTCATGGAATTGAGCATAAATTTCTTTATCAAGTTTCTCTGGGTTTTATTGTATTACAGCGAGCCATGGAACACACGTGGCGTCAATCGCAGCCGCATATTTTCCCGATAATCCAGAGTTGAATGGAGTTGCGCCAGGTGCCCAAATCATATCACTAACCGTCGGTGACGGACGTATCGGTACTATGGAAACCGGAACGGCTGTGGTACGGGCAATGATTTACATAATGCAGCATAAGAAAAAGATTCACGTAATAAACATGAGCTACGGAGAACATGCTCATTGGTCGAACACGGGTAGAATAGGAGAACTGATGAATGAAGTTATCGACGAATATGGTGTGATTTGGGTCGCATCTGCTGGCAATCTCGGGCCGGCTTTGTGTACAATTGGTAAATACAATCAATTTTGATTATTAATCTGTTCTTGTCTTAAAATCTCTCAAAATCATGTGATTTGTGTTACTGTTGGAAACATGAAACACTATTAAGTTTTTTATATGCACAGTGCGAATGCGATTATCTCATGTCTTGAAAAAATATCACAGGAACCCCGCCAGATATCAGTTCAAGCAGTATTATTAGCGTTGGTGCTTACGTGTCCCCTGACATGATGGTCGCTGAATATTCTCTCCGAAAAAAGATGGCAGGAATGCCATACACTTGGTCATCTCGCGGTCCGATGATAGACGGAGGCGCAGGAGTGACTGTATGCGCGCCAGGAGGTGCTATCACTAGCGTACCAAATTTCACTCTTAGGAAAAGTCAACTTATGAACGGTACGAGCATGGCAAGTCCGCACGTAACCGGAGCAGTGGGTGCGTATTTATTGAAATTTGTATTCACGTGCATATTAACTGTGAGAATATTCTTATATTGAACTTTTCTACGTTTTAGCGATTCTTATATCGGGGCTTCTTGCCAAAGGTTGTCCATATTCTCCTTACAGTATCAAGAGGGCACTTGAAAATACCGCTCTTTACATATCCAATTTAGACCCGTTTGCGCAAGGTTCCGGCTTACTGCAAGTCGAAAGCGCATTCGAAAATCTCGCCTCATATTGCGACGCTCCCGAAAGGGACGTTCGATTCGCCGTCAATTGCGGCGTTAATAATTGTAAAGGTATCCATATGAGAACAGGTATTATTGATCGTCCAAAGGATTATGCGATTACTGTCGAGCCAGTGTTCATGGATAGCGAAAATATAGGTATATTTTACTTAACGACTTTTCCATTGATTTTTTTTTCCTAGAATAAGCTTAGGGTTGGACGTCTTTTTATAAAACAAATCTTATATAAAAAGATATCTTATATAAATAAGTTTGTATCATCTTTTCTTGCAGATCCGTCACGCAAAATCGATTTTAACCTGAAATTAACGCTTGTTTGTGCCGCTTCGTGGGTCCAATTTCCGACACATTTAGACTTGATGCATATGCCTCGTGCTTTTGCCATCAGAGTTGAAGCTTCTAACTTACCAGAAGGTGTTCATGCGACTAAGTGAGGAGTATTCTTTTCAAGTAATGTTACATTAAAAACTTATGAATGCTCATGAATTCATATTTGCGATTTCCAGCGTACGAGCGTATGATGTAACCAATATCGCGAAAGGTCCAGTCTTCCAAATTCCGGTGACTGTTGTTCAACCGATGACGCTCCCGAAGACTGCACTTCTTCCAGATTTAACGTATACAAACGTTTTATTTAAGCCTAATACTATTCAGCGTCATTTCATTCTTGTCCCGGAAGATGCGACTTGGGCAGGTAAATTATATTTTGCCATAAATGTTGTGCATGTATATCGATAATACGAATTAAAAATATCGATAACTGTTGTATTCATATCGTATTCTCATTCGTTTTCAACTAGTTTTGAGATTAAGAAGCACAGAAAAGGATAAGACTGGTAGATTCGTGATTCATACTATTCAATTGAAACCTCGTATGTCTTGCAAAACTCTCGAAGTTAACAGAATTATCAGCGTTACGTCTCAGTCGGAAACAGTGCAACCATTTGCTGTCCAGGTATTTTATTGTCACAGATATTTTATAGTTTTGTAATTTCGTATATATGAGTTTCGTTCTTTCAGAGTGGATTAATTTTAGAAGTGGTTATCGCAAAATATTGGGCAAATCTGGGCGACATGTTTATTGACTATTCCATCGAATTTCATGGAATTCACATGATCAATGGCAGTCTTACAATGCAATCCGGGGATGGTATAAATCGCATTGAATTACGTAGCTCTCTTAGAAACGAAGAGGTTGTACCCAGTATTTCTCTGAAATCATCTGTTCAAATTTTGAAGTAAGTGCACGTCTCTATGTTAATTCATTTCTCTCTCTAGAATAATAATTACGTTGCACAATTAACCGCATAATATTAAAATGCAGGCCTAATGAATCGAAGATTGCTCCCTTACGAGTGCGTGATATTATCCCGCCATCGCGACAAATATACGAGTTACATTTAACATACACATTCCACTCGGCAAAAGCAACTGAAGTCACACCGAACGCTGCATTGCTTAGTGATCTGTTGTATGAGAGTGAATATGAAAGTCAAATGTGGATGATTTATGACAGCAACAAGCAACTGATATGTTGTGGAGATGCATATCCGTCTAAAGTAAGTTTTTTTAGTATGATCATACTTATTTAAGAAATGGAGATATATTGCAACAATTTATCTCTCATCGTATTATAATTTTGCTTTAGAAACAATTAATGAAAACATAAATATAACAGAAACATTAATATAACAGAAGATATATATTCACTTAAACGTGAAATTTTTTATCTACAGTTTTCTGGAATATATGAAAATAATATTACTTTGTTGTAGTATACAATTCAAAAGTTAGAAAAAGGAGATTACACTTTGAAAATGCATATACGTCACGAAAAGAGAGATCTGTTGGAGAGACTGACGGACATGCCGTTACTTCTGAGTCAAAAGCTCAGCACGCCAATAAATTTGGATATTTACGCCAGTCAGTCGCAGGCTATTATCGGTGGGAAAAAGATGGTAGCTGCATCTATTCCACCTGGTCATATTCTTCCTTTGTATATCTCTCCAATGTCTAACGAGAGCAAGTAAGTATTCATGTCTCTATCCGCGTACGTTCCTGTTTATACTATTCCTGTTTATCATTATTCATTATCTTAGTGATGCCTGATAAGTTAATAGAGCTTGATATTTTAAATTTATTGCTAACCGTAATAATAGACTGAATATCTATCGAATGTTTGCGCGCGTATATCACATATATATTAAAATACATGATGCTCATTAAATATTTGTTATTTATTGATCTGCACTATAGTAACATTTTTATCACTTGTTTCATTAGACAAATTATATGATTGAGATATTCTGTATAAAATTTCGTATTCTTATGTTTATAAGAAGTCTGATATATCTCTTTGACAATCGTATGTATGAGTTTTAAGTTGATACTGTAGTATAGTATGCTTTTTGATTGTATGTAAGGTACTGTTTGATTCTTACATAAGTAGTTTTTGGTTTTTAGTTGATTGCCGATCTAGATTTCAATAATAATAATATTCATAATTAATGTTCGCAAACGCATTTTCGTATAGAAATAAATATACGAGTTGTCTCCAAGTTGATGTCGCAACATTTACACTCACACTCTCTTTGACCAATTTGGAATCTATTTTTCTTTAGTAGAGATTTTATTGAAAGTTGCTTTTTACAACCGCTAAATTTCTAACGTCAAGTTTCATATTGTAAAACTGAAGCCCTGAGAAGTTTATCGGTTATTGAGAAAAAATAGGGCGGTGCTTTCATTGGAGAAATATCGAATCCAAATTGTTTAAAGGATATGTAAATCTTGTTACATTAATTTAGAGATATATGTTAGTAACACATGTTAATTGTTGCTGTAAAGTGCTATTAAGATAACTTTCTTTTTTCATCTTATATTGCAGCACTGAAAACAAGTGAGTCTATAATACAATTTTTACGTATATTTCACATTTAACCATATCAAGTGAAAAACACTACTCGCTATTCAATCAATTGGATCGACACACTTTTATGTGCATGTGAATTACGCATGTACTTAATTAAGATGGCTTACTGCAAAGTAAAATATATTTGGAAATATTGGCAAATTTTTATTTTGATTTTATTCTTTCTCATTCTTTCTATCTCATTTTGGAAAAGTACTGACGTGCGAACAAACAGCAACATTAACGTATTAAAAAAGAATTGCTTGTAAACTGGGTAATAGATGCTTTTCTTTGTTTTTACCTTCTATTAATTATTTATAAGTTTTATCCGTACACTTGTACAATTGCTTTTAAGTTTTATTAGTTTTAGTTACCTGTGAATATTATGTTCTACCAGGAATTATTTTTCATCTTCTTGCATATATGCTTTACTTTTTTCGATTGTTACTTTAATGTATTAATGCACTTAATATGAAAATAAGACATACTGTGTGTATATTTCCCTGCAAGAACACCATATTCATTGGTACACTGTGGCTGCTGTATTCCTTTTTACACTGGCATTTAACTGACTTTTTAATTCTGTTAAGCTTTCGGGTATGTAATGCTAAAGATTAAACAGGCGATAATAGCTGCATAATTTATCATTAAAAGCACAATCTCTCAACTTATCGAAATACATAAAACGTTTCTTTTTTTTTTGCAAAGAATATCCAAAGGCGCTACCCTCGGTAGTTATCTTCAAGGTACATTGACTTTCTGTAAGGATGATATCGGAAAGAAAGTGGATAGTCATGTATTCAAATACATCTTGTCTGAGCCCACCAAGAAAAATAACAGCACCACTACCAAATCCGAGAAAGAGAAAACCATGACGAAATGGGACGAGTACAATGAGGCGCTGAGGGATCTAAAGTGCAATTGGCTCGCGAAACTTGGTAATGTAACACATTTATAGATACATACATATATTTATATATATATATATATATATATATATATATATATATATTTATTTATTTATATATGTAGGTTAATTATCATCGTAAATATTTCTTCTTTGTTTTTCCGGTATATATCAATAGCACCGTCTATAAGTAAGTTTAGTTAAAAATGTCAACATTTATATATTCCCTTTCCTACAAAAAACGTATGATTTAACGTATGTACCTTGAAGCATGCATTTTGCAATTTTTGCATATACAATAATCTATATATTTCCGTATATCAAATAACGTGTACTTGTATAGAACTATGTTGTCTTTATTTCTTCGTTATATTTGTAACCATTATTACTGTTATGTTATGTTTGTAACTATTGTCATTATTAAGTTATGTTTTAACTATTGTTACTGATAACACATCATCAATATAAATAACTGCGATACAAGTATTTGGGCTAATGTGTGGTTTCTCTCGGTGACAGAACCCGGCGAATATGCAAATTTGTTGTATGGAGAGTTGAAAAATATCTTCTCGGACCACCTGCCCGTCCACACTGCCATGCTGACGTCTTTGGATTCTCCTGAAGCACGTAGGCACGTGCCTCACGGCGATCTTTCGGAGAACGCTATCGCGCTCGCCAATCAAATAATAACAGTAGCTGACGCCGTGATCACGAATATCGATCAGGACAAGCTGCTGGCGTACTTTGGCCTGAAGAACGACCAGCGTCCTGATGCGGCTAAAATCAAGGTCACGATGGAGAAGCAAAAGAACAGTTTGATCGAAGTATTGGTGAAGAAAGGCTGCGCACTGGCGCGATTGTACGTACATGGCACAAAGACTGGTGAGGAAGGATCTTATGGACATTTACTCGAGAGCGTTACGCATCATTGGCAAGAGGTGCAAAAGTTCGCAGAGCCTACTGATAACAAGGTAAATATAATTTCATTATGTTTTATCTAAAGTCATAGACGGATGGAAAAATACATACGTTTATCTAGGCTGACAAGAATAAGAGCGTAGAATGTAAATGGTGATTGAACGAAATACCGAACGTTTTTGGTCTTTTCTCAGGTTATAATTTTGTCCTTGTGGCATGCGCACATCAATAATCACTATGGGCGTTATTTGAAATTACTGACACGATATTACGAAGAGAAACCGCTGAAGGAAGTTGATGAGAAATGTATCGAGATCGCGAGGATCCTGGGATGGGAACATTGGTCTCGTCTTATCACCACGAGTATACCGACACGTTATCCGACTACTTACAGATCATTTTGATCACTGGTAGGTACGATTTTTATCCCAGTATGATATCTAAAGATGCAATATATCTCCTTTGTTACTTTCAGATTTAATGAGGCCGATGTGTTATGCCGTGAGATAAGACAAGAATACCGTTTCCAACACATCTTTGTAATAACAATGTCGAACAAGTCAGGTGTAATATACGTTTAGATGAATATTAGTTTATTACAGTCATAATAAACTAATAAGTTAGAAATTTTACTGAACTGATTTAACGGACATACACGTATGTACGTGATATGATTTGCACTATGGAAATAATTTAAAGGAGTTTATCGAAAAATTATTAATTTACAAGAGATAAATATACAATATAAGCAATAACAACGTAAAATATGTGTCTCATTCGCTAATTACGCACTTATTAATATTACGAAGAAAAACCGACGACAGACAGTTTCTAAGATTCGATTCGAATGAGTACTTAATCGGAAACTTGTAATGGTGACGACGCGTTATTTCCCAACGTTGCCGATTTCAATGAATATAATATCTACCTATCGAATTAACCGAGCATCACGAGTACATCTGTTGTCCCTTTTCTCTTTTGGTTACAACGTAATCTATGTCATTAAACTTTCGTTGTCCAGCTTTATTTTTACAGTAAATTATATGTAAATATATATACGTACGTATTTTGTTTTTACATTGACAAAATATAGTTTATTCCATCGATGTATGTTGTATTTCTGATGTACTACGCAACTTGTAACGCAACAAATTTTGAACAGATTATTTATTAGTTTTGCACATGTATCATTGTGGGGTAAGATGATGCGTCAATTGCATCCAGCACAGACACTTTTATATCTTATTACATAATGAATAAAATACCCCGTGCAAAGTAATGTACATATTGGAAAATAAATTTGGTGTATCAACTGCATTTGAACTAATGCTCTAAGAGAATCGCTCTTAGTTGACACATTTTTTTCACAAAGGTCTGTAATGATAAACAGTCTACGGTACGCTTGAAAGAACTCTTCAGAATAGTCGACTGAAATGATCAATACATTTATCATTGCGACCAAGTGAGAATAACGCTATAAGAATAAAAATTAACCGAATAAAAGTGTTTTATTAGGAATTAACAATATGAAACAACAATGATTATTAGATCTGATGAAAATAATTTCAGAACAAAGATAAAGATTGGAAAACATATGGTAAGGAAATTGTATTGTTTTTATCAATTTTTCGCGATTATCTAAATAATAAAAATATTAAACAAATTCGAGTGTTATCAATTATAATTTCACTGGTGATTGTCGCAGCAGTTCTTGCTGTTCAACTGTTTCCCTATGATGGCCTGCAACGCAGTTCGAACTGTCACACAGAACATCAATATTCAAATGGCTTAATTACATACATATAGAAATGTATTTTACAACAAAATTAACAAGTGATGAGAAACGTACAGAATAAAATACACCATCACGATTATGGCTTCACCACCACTATTCTGCTGCCATTTTCCGACATATGTAAGAGACTGTTTTAATAATGAAGTGGACGTATTCTGGTATAATGCCGAATTTGCACAGAGCCGTTACCCACCGGGACAAGAAAGTAATTCTACAGCAGCATATATCGTTCGTACATACATATTTCTAGCACTTTTGTGCAGATAAAATATTATTAATGTATGTATTTCTCGGTGTGCTTATATAATCCTCCAGTAAGCAATGCCTGTACACTTATATGTTTGCTCGTGGCAGTACGAATATCGAGAGAACATTTATTGATTTGTGATGTAGAAAAATGTCCAAAATTGAACATCATCGTAGCAGAAGCCATGATAGAGGGCAATGAAATTCACGCATTGCTCATTAAGAAAAGACTTATATCAAATCCTTATTTGAATACAGAGGAAGCTTTGAAGTATGGTGGGAAAAGTTTGGATATATTGAGAGAATGGGTATGGCTGTACCTCAAGCAAATTATATTTAATATTTTCAGTCATTATGATTGCTTATTGAGTTCTCATGTTGCTTCGTTTGTACGCGAGAGATTTCGAGAGAATACATTCTTGAATATTATATACATGTTGTGGTGCCTTTGCCGTAGAAATTCAACATCTTCCTCGAGGAGATAGGAACGAGTTTGTGCAAAAATATAAGTGCATTTTTGCACGAGTGGTACAAAGCCCCGGAATCTCACACTTTATTTATGTTGCTTATCACATGCGGACGTACTGTATTACTCATATTTCAAGATACATATAAGGTGAATAATTTTCAGCCGGTATCGGCGGTAAAGTAGCGGAAAAATAACGAGGATGTGATAGAGAGACAAATTATTTTATCTATAGGTCACGCTGTTCGATTCGCACAGTCACAGCATCGTCAATAATGCAAATCGTGGATTAGTCATTGCTCAGGTAAGTGAGCGAGTTTCGTGAAAAAAAAATGTATATTTTAGCTGAAATAGACGTTAAAGAACGTATAACACGTACAAATTACTTTCTTCCTAATAACTGTGCGAGAATATATATGACGCAGGCATCCATCGATAAATTGGAATCATTATGCGGCTGGTATACTCAGGATGTATTAAAAAATTGCTACAATATACAAGCTAATAAGTACGAATTAGCTTTCTTATATTCCTGTAGACACTCGTGCAAATGCCACAGTTGTTACAAAATATAATAATACCGCATGCCTATGTATATTTTTTTAACTGGCCATAAGGATACAAATAAAACTTATTTTTTATGTAGATTACCACGCCAAAGCCCATAATAATTGCCGATGTCATGTCACCCTGCCTGCCCATGTTGTTAGTAGAGTTCTCTATTTAAACGCATATAGATGTAAGTAATATATACGCAGGAAATGCAGTATACACTCATTTAGCAGTTTCCTCCTTTAAACAGACCGGACGCGTGTATGTATATGGATTAAGATCGATGTATTTATTTACATTATGTACAATTTATCCCTCTAAGGCTAGTAAAACGCTTCATTGTTTACACAATGCTGAAACTATTAGGAGAATAATTTGATTTATCTTCGAAAACAACGTCGATTTAAACAAAGAATGTCTTGTAAAACACACACATTTCTCTATGAGTGAGTTTAGCATTGCGCAAACATATCCCATTGGCGATATATTGACTATATCATATTAATAAGTTTAATATTAATTTATATTTGTTGAGATTTTTTTTATCTCCTCCGACTACGCTTTTTCATTACGCTTATAAAATATAATGAAAAATGTGTGGACGATACAATTTTACTCGAAAGTAGTTTTGTTTTACACTCTCGTAACATTGTATGTATAAGTAGCTACAATATTTTGATTTCTTAACAATTAACTTTCCATTTATAATAGTATATATCTGTTTTTTACATATCTGCATGATTTCCACGTATCTCGTATAAGTAAAAATCACTTGCACGTTATGGAAACAAATATACGTTGTTAAATTTTTATGATAATTTAGATTACAATAATGGAATAAAGTAACAATATATAAAATAATCATGGTGAACTTGATAACAGAATCAAATCATGCCAAATTACAAGTGATTTTCATATGCTCTATCAATTCAGTGAACAAACACAGTATACTATGTCATACAATTAGAAATGAAAATTATTGTTCGAATTTATAAAAGTAAAGAAATAATTTTTTTTATTTTTTGCCTAATTACTATAAAGTTTCAAAAGTACGATATAAATATTTTTCTGCATTTTCTAATGTGAATAAGAAATTAGTTTTCTTTTTGTTCTGTCACCAGTGCATGAATTGAATATAAAAAATAAGTATAACAGTGCCGAGAAATAGTGTAATGTCTAAAATACAGATTTCTTCATCTTTCTATTCCCATGTGTATATTACAAGTATATTGTGTGTTGTGTATATTGTGTTCGCGAGTGTGTATGTGTGTATTTGTGTGCAGCGGAGTATTGTAGAATATATTTAATAACAATTTCTCAACAATGTAATTTCAATCACTATTAGAAATCACTATCTACACGAACATATAAGCTATACCTCCCGCCCTTTGCAAAATTTTACCTGCAATGCTGCATTATCTTAAAAGAAGTTTCTTTTTCCTTGATTCTAAAAAACCGCTTGCACGTATCAACGTTAGTTGAGCAACTTTTTACTGTATTTGTAAAGAAACATCTTATTGTATTACTTTGTACAATATAATCAATTACAAGGCAATACTTGTTTTTCTCTTCGAAGATAAATCAAAGATCGCAATGAAATTATTTTACACGCTATAATTTTGCATATCCTATATGGTTAGTAGTTCTCACACAAATAGAACTTGTACAATAGCACTATTACTCCTTAAGCAAACACTCAAAAGATATCTCTTTCAATCCCGCTTTCTCGCTTTCTCTCTTTCTAATGTTTCAACAAATAAAACATTATCTACCCAAGCAATATATTGTACATTGTTTGACAATGCATATTACAAGGAGAAGCTATACATTATATACTATAATTCATTACACTGTTACACAAAGGTTTTACTCAGAAACTTTGAACACAATAATCCTGTATGAAATCATATACTATACAAAAAGGATGATTTTCTGTCGCTGGAGAAATGTTTCAATGAAACACGTTTGAACAATATACATTTCGTAATCGAATAAATAAAGTTACCGTGTAAGAGTGTTCAGAATTTATTATAAGGAAAAAAAATAACGTTAGAGAGATTGACGAACTCGAGGTTGCGCCCACTCTACGAAATCATCGATTAAAACGGGCCAGGCACCTTCTTCGTCATAATTACTCATGTCTGGATTAATCATAAGTGCAAAATCCAATAACAAATTCCACGTGTCTTTTGGAATTGATCTTTTATGATGCTCCTGAAATGCATCGATGATGTTAGAAGGAAAGAAAAAAGGAAAAAGGAATGATTCTATATAAAGAATAAATAAAAAAAAAATAGAATTACAGACCCCTTACCTGTAAGAATTGACACCATAATTGAAGAAATTTGAATTTATCATCTAATACAATGTTCCAATAAGCAATCGCCATGTCCAAATCTAAACCTTTTTGTCCAGTATTCTTTGCATAATTAAATGTGAAATGATAGAAGTCTTTGAACTTCTGAGGATCCCTCAATTCATTTTCTAAACTACCTAAACGTGCTTTTAGTTTATCTATATTGTCCACACTAAAAGAAAAAAAGAAAAAATAATTAAAGAAATTATTGTATTTGGCAATAAGAGATAAGACAAAAAAGCATGAAGTAATAATATTATGGGTATAATTATGAATAGCATAGAAAGATATTTTTGTATTTACCCTAAATCCATCATTCCATTCATGAACTCATCTTTTGTGAACTCACACTGTGTTTCAGCACGAAATTTCCATGCAATGATTAGAACTAATTTACTTTCAGGACTTAAACCCAAATCATCAAGAAATTTCATAATACCATCTGCAGTAATTTTATTGGGTTCACTTGGATCTGCAAGTATTGTGATTACGTAGTATATTTATCTCTCCTAAATATAACATTCAATAGAAATAAGATAATAAAACTGTTCAACTGATGATCCTGTTTAACAAATATATATCCTTTATAATGACAAATTCTGGCATTATTGCCATAATAATTATAGTGACTTTACCTTGGTATCTACTGTATAATATTTCTAATTTCTTTTTATCTACAGAATTTTTAGGTTCTTTGCAATAAGCCTCCGGGTTTTGGAAGTAATTGTCACTCGCCAAGTCCAGCTTCCAATCATTTTGTGCCAAACAATATATCGCAGTTTGTTCTCCGGTTTGTGTGAATGTTATAAATTTTTTCACTTTGTCCCTTTGTGAAAATTTTAATTTCTGCTGCAATTCGAATAAGACACGATGTCACATACACTTTGCAAGCTTATTTAATTATATTGACAATGGAATATTTATAAAAGCCCAAATTATACAGGGTGTAACAGAGAGAAGGATTATTTGGCAAGAAGATAATACAGAAATTCAATGCAAAATGCGTCTAACGAGGGAGGAAAAAACGGAAAAGGTCAAAGCAGTATTTCAAGTCGCCCCGTCGTTCCTCTGATGACAGCTCTGATATATTTAGCGTGAGGAAAAGCCAGAATAATATTATACACGAAGATAGGTTAATCTAACTTCGAAACAGAGTAACGAAACGGGGGATTATACTTGATTAACCACCTGATAACACAATATAAATGTAATCTTATCGTTATGCAAATATCTGTTTTCCTGATGCTTACCATTTTCCAGCTAATTTTAGGCCCCCGAAAGCCAAAATATTATTCCCCTCGCACTACACTTGACACGACATGCGCATGTTCTGTGAACGTCTCAAGTGGAGATGGACGATAATCAACTGATGAATCGATGTTCGATTCTGTTTTTGTTAATAGATCGATAATCTTTTCGATATTTAGAGCTACGTAAAGTCTAGTTTTTTCCCTTTTTATATAAACTTTCTGTGTGCACTAATGTAAAAAATATAAACAAACTTTTATAGCGACGCGAAAGAAAAAAATGTCCGACTCATTGTTGAGTTACTACATGAAAATAGTTGATTCATATTCAAATATTTTTTTTGTTAATAATTTAGTATATGTAATATCAGTCAAAATTTCAGCTTGTGTAAACTAATATATTATTAACAATGTATTAAATGATGTAAGTAGTTCGTAATCGTAGAAGCAATCGTACTGTTCGTTAAAAACAAAATAAGAAAGCTAAACTGCTCTCAGTGCTTCCTCGTGAATAATATTTCAAATATTATACATACAAAATAGCATTTGCAGCGTAAAGCATCAAATCATTCATAAAAGAAATAATATTTGAAGTATGAAAAACGAGAAATCGTGATCGTAGTATAGCTCAACAATAATATCGTCAGATTTTCATCTTCAAGTAGTATTACTCAATAGTTAAACAGAAAGCTTAGTCCCGATCTACAATAAATGTAGCTTTAAACCTTAAGAAATTGATCAATGACAGTAGATTATTCTCCTCAAATTTGATCGTGATTGATGAATTTCTTAAAGATAAGGGCTAAATCACCTATTGTAGGTCGGGACTTAAGTCCCGATCTATAATAGGTGTAGTAAGCTTTAAGTCTTAAGAAATTGACCAATCACAGTTTACAGAGGAATATTGTGATTGGTTAATTCCTTACGGCTTAAAGCTTACTACATCTATTGTAGATTGGAACTTTAATTTTATATAAAAGAATAACAGATTAGAGAAGAGAATCTCTTATTTTCAAGTAATAATTATTAAAAATTGTTTTCTCATAATTTTTTAAAAAAGCGTAGGAAAGTGTAAAAAGTACACATGATGCAAGGAATTTACACTTTATATCCGTCATGGCTCCTGCACACAGGACGCGGTAATGCTTGCCACGCGGCGGAAGTTCGCGCGACAGCCAATCAATATGTTGTTTTTCCGTAAGGGCTAGAAGGTTATTACGGAAAGCAGCATATTGATTGGCTGTCGCGCGAACTTTTGCCGCGCGGCAAGCATTACCGCGTCCTGTGTGCAGGAACCATCAGATCATCATGGATCTGTTTTCTATTACCTGAGAGAAGCTTGAGAGCGGCTACCAGTTTGATTTTAGTGGCCAGAGCTAGGTGCATTTTCTATCGTAAATCGTAGAAATTGATCAATCGGGATCGATTATTTTTTTCGTACCCGACTATGATTGGTCAATTTCTACGATTTACGAATCTACGATTTCTATTGTACACACCGCTTTAGATCTGTTATTTTTACAAAATTAGTTTTAAAATCTCCGTTACGAGCCGCCACTATACGTCCCGATCTACAATAGGTGTAGTAAGCTTTAAGACGTAAGAAATTAATCAATCACAATTGATTATTCCTTTATAATTCCACTGTGATTAGTCAATTTCTTAAGGCTTAAAGCTTACTACACCTATTAGTTGCGTTCGGTATTGTAAATCGAAGATGTCGGATCGCTCTTTAATCTCGAAGATACATAGAAATGAAAAAGAAAAATGAAAAAGATACGAGATCTCGTATTTCTCTCACTTCTGTGCAGTTTCGAATGCAGCTATTGTAGATCGGGTCTACCAATCGACCAATCAAAGTAGTGATAGATTTAAGATAGGATAGAACAATTGAGATAGATAAAATTCAATATACTATAATTTCGGTAAAAATAATGATATCATCATGGTTCAAAAAGCATTTTAAAATTTGAAGTCTATACTTTTCAGGTATACTAAATCCATAATGCTACTATTGCTTATTGTTGAGATATAATGAGATATAATAGTTAAATAATATATGACAACTGATCAAATTTCAACTTCATCTTCCAGTTGTTTTCACTTAAAAACTTATTTATATAAAAAAGTACGACATACTCATCATAAAGAAAAAACTTTAAGTTTTTTATTCATTTTATTAACGAATGTTTTACAATGATTCATCCACTTTCTGTAAGCGATCAAAACCAAAAGAATCGTTTTTCGTAAATAACTCAGTGAAAGAAAATCTCGCTGAAACGTACACGCAAATAAAAAGGGAAAATTCCGTTCTTCTAAATGATATAAACGTTACTTGTGTGCATTGTTTTGTTTAGGCAGTACAACTTGACAAACTTCGTAAAAAATTTAGGCGTTCGATGAATTCTAACTTATATTTATGTAACATCGTAAAAATAAGTTATTTTTATATTCGAATATATATCTGAAAAGTAGAGACTTGAAGTTGTAAAATGCTTCTCGAATCCTCTCATTATTGTTATTTTCATAAAAGCTACAACCAGTTAAATTTTGTGTTTTCTTATGACTGAACAAAGTGAATCTTTGCGTAAAATATAGATATACAGTAAAAAATGCAGTACGTAGATTATGTTTTATACATGACATACAAATTTTGAGCGTAATATATTGTTACGTCCTTTTTACTCTCCTTTGTATTCTTTCGTTCGTAAAAATTTGACCTGCTTTGAGCGCGCGTCCTATCTCAGTTCTGATGCGGTTTCTGTAGCTAAAAAAATCAAGCAAATGTCAAGTAATAATTCGCAAACAATAAGTCGCACGCTGCTTCAGATATGACGTAATTAATACGTTTGATGGTGTTAAAAATTAATTACATTTAAAATTTACAAGACACGGAAATATGAAGTGTGTGAAATTCTTGTCCAAACTAACCTCGATGCTATCTTAAACGGAACGAGAATGGAAACGTGATTTTGTTCACTGTTGAAGTTCGTGCTAAGCACGAGAAAAGAGCACATATCGTCTTTGTCTTGACCCACAGATCGTCAAGTTATAACATCGTTCGATTCTGATCCAAAAGCAAAGTAGCAAGTGGGTAGTAGGTCATGTGGGTCATTGATAGTATAATTATCACATGTTACTTTCTTAATTTCAGCATTCAGCTTTAGGTACGACAGTATACATATAATTATTTTTACTTTTTGAATAAAACTTTGTACAAAATATTATCAAGTACAACTTCATACCTAACATTTATATGAATGGAATAATGAAAAGTCATATTCCTCCCTGTTGCTTTCATTAACCAATAATAATATTTAATGATTTTTCTTTAAAGGTAATATTATTTGCAGGGATCGCAGAAGATGTATCAGATCATCCAATATTTAATAAATAGATGAAATTGTGCTATAACTGATAAATATGGTAGGAAATAGCTTTGATGTACTCCCATACTATCATTCCAGTGGAGCTGGAAAGGAAGTGTGCCAGTGGTTGGCACATATCAAATTGTCTAGGATAATTCTTCTAACATCTGCAGTTTTATTTATTGTGCCATTATTCACCCATTATTATTTATCTAAGGTATATTAGACAAAAAAGTATATAGATTCTAAAGACCTGTAAAAAAATATCTTATTAATAACTCTGCAATATATTTTATAATGGTTACACAAAGTTTTATGCTAACTGTAAATTATTTTTCAGGTAGAAAATGATGTTCCAGACAGGGATATATATAGAACATTTTCAACACTAGAAGCTTTCGAGGACTTCACATCTATGAAGGCATCGCAATTAAAGATGAGGATAGAGGAGATGTTGCGTATAAAGATATCAGTGAGTAACGAACTGAGAGATTTGAGTGCCAAGAGGCAGAGGCTTCAAGTGGAAGTTAACAGTTTGACTCAGAAGATTGACGAATTGAAGCAGGAATTGTTGCATCAACAGACAGATCTTGATAGATTAAAGATAAGCGTAGAACAAGCGCAGGTAGCACAGAGAGAAGCAGTGGAAAGGAACACGCCTGAATTGGCACCACCTAAGAGAATACTGATTAATACTGTTCCTGTTACATTACCAAGCACGGACCCACGATCATGTAGGATGTACAATTGTTTTGATCACAGTCGATGTGCATTAACGAGCGGCTTCCCTGTATTCCTGTACGATCCAGATCAATTCCCAGTAGTCAATTCAGGATGGGATGTAGATGGCTTTCTGAAAACAACCATCAAGCAAACCTTAGGTATGTGTTCTTATTCGAAACGTTTGCCTATGTGTGATAAATTGTAAAATATTCCCTTTATAGGATACAATTCACATTTGACGAAGAATCCAGCGGAAGCGTGTATCTATATAGTTCTAATCGGCGAAGCATTGAAGTCCAAATCGAAGGGGGGCGATCATCGTTATACAAAACCTTTAGACATAAAGAGACTACACGCGCTTCCTTACTGGGGCGGAGACGGTAGAAATCACATATTACTGAACCTCGCGCGGCGAGACCTATCCGCGGATTCTGGGAATATTTTCAACAATCTGGACACCGGCAGAGCGATTATTGTACAGTCGACGTTCTACAGAAATCAGTTTCGCGCTGCTTTCGATCTGATCGTCCCGCCAATCTTGGGGCCACCCGGTGGAGACGTTTGGCAAGAATGCGCGCAAATGCTGCCTGCGAGAAGGAAATATCTGTTGTCCTTCCAAGGGGAGATGAGGACCTACAAGGGTACACCGATGACGCATCAAATAGACGATCCCGATGTGGACCTGGAGAGATTAGCGGTGGACGACAACAACATAGACGCGTTTATCATTCAGCATCTGAAAGACATGAGCAGCGGAGTGACTTTAGACAAGTTTTTCATTCAATTCGAGTGCATTCCCGCTTCCGTGGAGAGTAAACCCGTGGAGGCTCTCGATTGGTCTCTCTGCGGCACCGACTCCTCCAGACGAGCTATTTTGAAGGAATCAACATTCGCGCTGATCTTAGCGCCTAGAAATGCTACATTGCTGACTACTTCATCCATGCAGGCGAGATTATACGAAGCGTTACGATCCGGATCGATACCAGTGATTTTGGGTGGCGATCAGATCTTGCTCAATTACAACGAAGTTATCGCCTGGAAGAGAGCGGTCATCTTTCTGCCTAAGGTAACGGTGCCGAGTTCGTTCTTGATGTTACCAGGAAGCTAATGAGACTGCAATTTTTTTCAGGCTAGAGTAACTGAAATGCACTTCCTGTTACGCGCTGTTCCCGACAACGATCTCTTAATGATGCGAAGACAAGGCAGATTGATATGGGAACGTTACATGAGCACCGCTCAAGGTGCGATGGACACGATCTTAGCAGTGGTCAGAGACAGACTCGGCATACCGCCATTGCCAGCGTCTCAGACACTCAGTCCTAGTGTTTTCAATGAAAGTTTTGTGGTATGTATCTAAGATGTAACGTTTGAGGATGTTTGATCTTGTAGATTCTACAGTATTTTCTTTTAAAAGCCTTTAAAGTCAGATACCATCATCGCGGAACCAGAGGCTGAGGAAAGTTTAGGTCCTTTGGAGCCACCGTATCCATCTCCTGCTTTCAAGAGAAATTATACGACGCTGTTGATTCAAGGTCACGAGATTTGGAATGATTGGATGGATCCGTTCAATTTGTATCCGCAGTTACCTTTCGACACCATCCTGCCTAGCGACGCGAAATTTCTCGGTAAGATCATTATTTTACATTATTTTAACATCGTTATGCATGCGTTATTCGTTACTTATTTCATTTGTAGGCTCAGAAGTTGGTTTTCGACCTATTGGCAAAGGTGCCGGCGGTGCTGGAAAGGAGTTCAGTGAATCATTAGGAGGAAATTATCCGAGAGAACAGTTCACGATTGTCATGTTAACGTATGAGAGAGAACAAGTTCTTATAAATTCGCTGGCACGTCTTTACGGCTTGCCTTACTTGAACAAAGTAATCGTGGTGTGGAACAGCCCGAAGCCACCTGTAGAGGATCTCAAGTGGCCCGACATAGGCGTTCCTATACATGTAAATTTAATTTATTGTTATGATCTTTTAAAGACTTTATTCATGTATCAGAATATCACACACATTTTTAAATTATTTCTAAAATATTCCCGTGCAGGTTATAAAGGCTTCAAAAAACAGCTTGAATAATAGATTCCTCCCGTTCGATGCGATTGAGACAGAAGCTGTCCTTTCTGTTGACGATGACGCTCATTTGAGACACGATGAGATTATGTTCGGTTTCAGGTAAGGTAGTTTCGCATGCGAACTTATTAGTTAATGCAGCTTTATATGATTATACTATGTTTGGTAAAGACGACAAGAAGACGCATAAATAGTTAATCACCCAGTATACTTCTTTATTCTTAAATATTTCTAACTACATTTCTAGTTAATTTCAGTGTTTTCTATTTTTATTTGAAGCGAACTCTCGTGGGTCTAGCGGGTCTTTCACGACTCATCGAGCGCAAGCTCATTGGTCACTGCAATCAAGTAGCGGACCCTCGTGGTTCATGTGAGTCTCTCATGGCTCTTCAAACGCAAGTTCATTGGTCTTTGCGACTAAATAGCGGACCCTTGTGGTTCTAGCGGACATTCGTGATTCTTGCGAGTCTACTCTTCAAGTGCAAGCTAATCAGTAATCGTCACAACAAGTTATAGAGGGTTCTTGTTATACAAACAAGAGAACCTCACAGACTTGGCCCACGCGCCAAATATATCGCATGTTCCAGATCTAGCAACGCAATGTTTGACTTTCTTAGCAACTTCCTCGATCATCTTCTCAACGATCGTGAACTGCTACTTCATGTGTTTTTCTGGCATTCTGATAATATCAGTAAAACTATACGCTTCATACCAGACCTTTTTATGATTTCTCACATCCTTCCCGTCGACGAGATTTAGGACTCCTCGTTCCTCCGCCGCCTACCGTCGCCTGCGATTCCTGTTCCTGCGCGGCCTCCGCCACCTCCCGTCACCTATGACTCCTGGTTCTTGCGCAGTCTTCGCCGGCTTTCTTCGTCGGCGTCTCCAATATCCTGCGAGGTCTTCGCTGTCTCTCTACATCGGGGACTCCTGTAGCCTGCGCGGTCTCCGTCGCCTCTCTTCACCGACGACCCGTTAAAGTGTTTATTTTTTTTTGTTAAAAGTTTAAATGTTCGCAAAGTGCAGTTTCTTTAAATTAAATACATTTCTCGTAAACTGTGATTTCAGAGTATGGAGGGAACATCGAGATCGCGTGGTTGGATTTCCTGGGCGCTTTCACGCGTGGGATCAAAACTACCATAACGCTTGGAACTATAATTCTAACTATTCTTGCGAATTGTCCATGGTCTTAACCGGAGCCGCTTTCATTCACAAACATTATACATATCTATATACTCATTGGTTACCACAGGCAATCAGAGATAAAGTCGACGAATATATGAATTGCGAAGATATCGCCATGAACTTCTTAATATCTCACATCACGAGAAAACCACCAGTTAAAGTAAGACGTCACCTTCAACATATGAAAAGGATAATTGTTCAGTGTTACGCATAATAACTTGTTGCAAATTAATATATATATTAATATAATTAATATACATATTAATATACATATTAATATACATATTAATATACATATTAATATATTTGGTTTTAGGTAACATCACGTTGGACGTTCAGATGTCCGGGTTGTCCAGTATCATTATCTGAAGATGATACACATTTTCAAGAGAGACATAAGTGCATCAATTTCTTTTCTGAGGTAAAATAAGCCAAAAGGATTTTTAATTGTCAGATACTTCTCTAAAATCCGTTTAAAATTTGAATGCATTTACTTGAGCTGTAAATACGATTTGGTAAGATTATTCAATACGATTAATGGTTGCAGGTTTTTGGATATATGCCATTATTGAATACGCAATATCGAGCCGATTCGATATTATTTAAGACACGAATACCACATGATAAACAAAAATGCTTCAAGTTTATATGAAGAAATGACCTATTAGAATTTTTATGTACGTATATTGTAGAATAAGATTTATATGTGACTTTGATACAATTTCGTTGAGTTCACGAAATTTATGACTATTATACACGATATTTTGCAAAATACATACAAAGAACAACTAGTAATACCAGGCACATACAAAAACAACTGGAAGTATTTCATTGAAATGTCGTTAAGCTGTATAAGTGATCAAAAAATGAACAAAACTTTAAATATACTTTGTAAAGGTATTCTTGGTGTGATCGAATAGATATCAGTGTCTCGGATTTATCATAACTTCGGCGATATACTGAATTTCATAGTAATTAGGAACAATCAGAATAATTGTAATCAGAATAATATTAGGTATGATAAGAAAATATTTCAAAATTAGCAATTTGTGCACGAGTATATTATTGTAAATAATTCTTTCTCTTATTTTCTTTTTTTGTTCTAAGTTTCTTTTAGATGACCAATATCTTGAAAAGATGGAGAGATCTATTTTATAAATGTAATTGATATACAAATTACTGCCTATTAAAATCAAAATAGTGTACATATTTGAGGTAAAATTAGGAAGGCAATGTATTATTTTTAAGCAACATAAGTAAAACTGTACGTTTAAATTAAAAATAATGGTTAAGACATTGTTTACATATAGTTATATATTCGTAACTAAAAATTTTTTACAAAATTTAACTTACTAAGGGAAAACATCAATTTATTCTAAAGACACCTCATAGATTGTGATTCGATTGATTTTTGTGAAACAAGTTTCAGAAATAAGAAAAATTTTATTTGCACACATGTACACAAAATGGTCCAAATAAGTCAACAATTTGCACAATAGCACTCATACATCTTAATGAATCTCTATGTTTTGTTGTATAATAAAATGTGTACATTACACAACAATCAACTATTTCGTAGTTGATAAAAATATAAACAATTTCTCAAATTGCGGACACCTGTTTAAATGTAATTTTTATATTAATTAATGATATATAATTGTATTAATCATTATTTTAGAAATTGTTTTTATAATACGATATTTAGCATGTAACCTCATACATGTTGTCCGGAATAGTAACATATGAACTTGTATTTGTAGATGTGACAGTAAAGATCCATCTGAGATTTGTGTCTAGTTATAAATGAATTTAACATAACAGTTAAAATTTAAATTGCAATTTTTTTTTATTTAATTTTTATACACACTTTCAAAAATTTTAGATTAGTTTGCTATTTATGACTGATGTTTTTTAGACTGTTTTTTAGATCGTAGATTAAAGAAAATTTAATTTTCAGATTATTTAAAGAATTAATTCATAAAGAATATAGTGTACTATTGAACGATATGTTTATATGTTTAATTTCTTATACGTCATATTATCATGTTTTATTATCATGTTTTATTATCATGTTTTATGTAATGCTTTTTATATATAACACCATTGATATATATGTGCCAAACTTTTAATAATTATATAATATATAGAATATATTTATATTATATTATATAATATATTCTATATATTATATAATATATTATATAATATATAGAATATAATATAGAATATATTATATAATATATTATATAATATAGAATATATTATATAATATATTATATAACATATAGAATATATTTATATAATTTTCTTTTTAAGATACTATTGAAAATAAGTTTGTATAATCTTCCTTGAATATTTTTTGAACTAGTTTATTTTAAATTTAAAAAATAATTGAAAATTATATGATTACATATAATTTACAAGTCGTTTCACTATTTTAAAAAATTTTTAAATATACCACTCTTATATATAAAAAATTATCAATAGATAAAACGCGAGAACATTCGCCCAATACAATTATCAAGCGTGTTAGATGTAACGAATACTGTGTAAGAAAATATTAATGTAAAAAACTGTCCTATAAATTTCCTGTGCTACTGTTTTGTATATTATAACGTGCTGATATTAGTATTGTAATACAATAATCTTAAGCGTACCTGTGCAATAAAATCACATTTTTTATCGTATAATAACGAGAACATGCAATACGAACTTCATTGTATTATTATTCTGTATAGAATAAAATAATTTAATTGCCGAGAAAAGGCAAATAATATAAGTTTCAACAACGTGTAAATATCAGACTTTGTAAAACGGACAACAGTAAACACCGACAGTAGATATTATACATGAGTGATTAAACGTAGCAACTGTGTCCGCTATGATTATAACGCAATTCAAAACAATTAAAGAAACAAGTCTACTGTGACGAATTTTGACTTACGTTATTCTGAAAATAGATGGAAAAATGTAAAAATAGATTGTTTTTCAAGATTCAAGAAGCGACTTTCAATATTCGGAATTAAATCTCCATTTTTACAAAAATTAATAATCCGCTTAAGTACAAAATTATACCGTAATATTTTTTTAATTAAGATTTTCATTAATTTTCTTTCTGATTTTCTCAAGGTTCGATGTATCTTTCGAATATGGCGCTTCGATTGACGATTCCCCCGAAGCTCGCGCCGGATTGGTTCGCCGGCCGATCAATACGACATCTTCCTACGTCAGCGCCGTGCCGGCCGCCCATTGGCTGGAACATACGCCGCAATCCCATTATTTATTAAACCCGCGCGAAGGTATGTACGGACGCTCACGGGCAACGTTCATTGCAAACGCGGCTGTGGATCACGATCGAAGGGCGCAGCAAGATCGATGACGATCGCACGAGACCCGAGTAACTCCTGAGCGACGGACTCTATACTTCGAAGTGTCTTTTCCCGCCTTCCCGCCTCGAACATCCTCCTGTCCGCCGTCGTCCGCCACATGCACGAAGTCGGACTTGGTAACCGCTAAGCGCGTACAGGGTATCTGCACGAAATGTTGCGCTCCCTCCTCCATTTTGGATTCTTTGGCGCGCCCGACGTCCATTTTTCATCAACGGTAATACGACCAGAAAATGCTTACTTCAGCAAATCCTTTTATATCGCGATATCGAGTACCTTCGCGATAAACGTTCGAATAAAAGTTGCGTCGAGGTAAAGCCGACGCAACGCTTTACGACGGATATGTAAGATCTTTTTGCATTCTAACGTATCGCCAACGTATGCTATCCGCATTCCGAAATTTGCCGCGCGACAATTTCCCGATTTACGACAGAAAGACCGTCGGTAAAAGCCGACGTTCAAACAACCGTCGTTATTTGCAGCGTGACTCCTAATCAGCGACGTCGGAGGAAATGCGCGCGACTTCTGAGCCACTCTATATAGCGTTGCGCGGACGAGAGGGTGGGAAACAAGGCTCCGTTCTTTCGCGCAACTGCGGTCGCGCGTAAGCGCGATAAGGCGCCCCTTATCCCTTGGCTAGAGGTCTCTGAGCGAGTGATACGTGCAACTGCGAAGGAAGGGCCGCTCGAGGAACGCGGGGTCGCGCCTCGACGTGAGGATCCCGACAGGAAGTCGATTCGCGACCGGAGATTAGCCCCGCTCGCGTCCCGTTTCACGGCTCGTCGCAAGGGTTGCGAGAGGCCGACGTGAGCGCAGCTGGCGAGCGCGTCAGAGGTGGTGCGAGCAGTCTAACGCGCGCGGCCGAGAGAGCAAGAGGAGGACACAAGAGAGTGACGACGGCACAGAGCTCGTGGGCGAAAGAGGGACACCGAGCCAGCGGAATTCACGAGAGCGAGCGCGAATCGCGAGCACTCGCTCGACGCACCGCGCACGAAGAGATTGCGGTAAGAGTACACGCATTCGCCCCGGTCAGGAGAAAAGAAGTGAACGCGTCGTCAGCTTTCGGCGCGGCCCTCGTACCGGATAATCCGAACGTCGACGCGACGCGACACGACCGCGACGCGACGCGTCGCGACGCCAAGCGCCGCAAAGTGCGCGGCGAGTGCGCAGGTACCATTTCGTCTGGCTCGACCGCGTCGTTCTTACGTGTGTGCGTGTGTATGTGTGTATGTGACAAGTGTGACCGTTCGCCAAAGTTTCGCGGCTCGACGGAGCACGAAGGGCGCTGCGCGGGGGTGCGAATCCGGGGCCGAGGTGGCCGTAACGCCCGAGATGGGTGTTTAACCTCGCGACGACCTGGCAAGCGGCCGCTTTTACGAGGGCGTTCTCGCCACGACCACGACGACGAGGGAGGACTGGGAGATAGTCGAGAGTAGGAGACCGAGAACGACTGCGACGACGACGGCGACGACGGGGACGGGAATCGGCGACGAGCGCGACGTCAGCGACGACGCATGTATACCCCGACGACGATAGGAACACGGTGATAGGAGCGAGAAGGTGGCAGCAACCCCCCGGCGTTGTCGTCAGCTGGGGAAACGCTTCTCGTGGGTGTGTAACTGCCTGCTCGGGGACGATCGACTGCGTGGGCGTCGCGGTGGCCGTAGAGGCGCGCCGAGGTGCGCCATTGTCGTGTCGGCTGCCACGTGAATCGTCGCGAGCATCCGCGAGTGACGATCCGAGAGGGTACATACCAGAGTGTGTCGTCCGTCGTGTATGAGCATCGCGCACCGCCGCACGTCGTCGGGCACGTTCATTCCCGCGGACGACGACACGCCAGCCGCCGGACTCGGTGAACACGACGGCGGGACTGGCCGCGGGTCCGCCTGCGGGATGGCGCATCGCGTCGTCACGGTGTCCGAGAGATAACGGGCGCGAGCTGTGACACGGCAGCTTATTATGTGCCACGGGTGTCCAAGGGGAGCGCGAAGATCGAGTCGCGAAAGCGGAGTCCCGTTTAGCAGCAGCAGCGGCGGCGGCAGCAACCCAGTGACCCGTTTTCGTTTTCAATCGATGCGGTTCCAAAGAGTTTCGAAGGATCAGGGCCAGAAGGACGCAGCCATTATCTGCTAACGGAATCCAACCGAGGCTGGGAATCGGACGCGTTACCCCGCGGTAGAACGGTGTCGCGGCTCGCCGATTGGCCGGCCTCTCAACGACGACGACAGCAAGTACTGGAATACGCGGTCGCGTACACCTCGCATAATCGCGGAAACGTGAGTCGAGATCTCTTTCTCTCTTTCTCTCTCCTTCTCCCCCTCTTTGTCTCTCCCTTTCTCGACCTCGGAGTCTCGATTTATCGTCGCGAATCTCATCGGTGGCGGTCGGCTGCACAGGGGTGTCGCGTCGAGGAACGCGTATCGTCCGATGGTGCATTCGGGCAGCGCAACGCGTGAGGCCGGGCCGCAAGAGAGAATGCGAGAGCCTCCTCACAGCCTGTGAACATGATTTGTCATACACATGCGACGGGCGGTAATCGTACGACGAGAGACACCGACGACGACGACGAGGAGGAGGACGAGGAGGACGAGGACGAGGACATCAGCTGCTGCTGCTGCCGTGGCCATGCCTCGAGCGCTCACATGAGCCCAATCCGACTGCTGCAGCAAGACTGCCTTAGCACGCAACAACAACCGAAGCAACTGCAAGGAGGTGAATCCGTGTCGCGTGATACGTCGCCAGCGAGGGCGACTCCAGGACACGTCCACCGTCTCCTTCTGCCGTTACCCCGCGTAGAGAAGGACCCATCGACTACGACGAGCAGCACGACGACGGCTCTCCGTCGCGCTATCCGCAGGCTGCGAGTGCGATCCGCAAGTGCCGAGGAGACGACAAGGACGACGGTGCAACGACGATCACGACGTCGCCGACGACATAATCCCGGCGCGTCGGAGGCGCTGCTCGCTTATCCGCGTCGCGTCGCGGTGGTGCGGTCGACACCGGGTGTCGGATGACTTCCCCAGGACAACAACCGTGCCTCGTAGTCGTAGAACACAGGTGTACCCGGCAGCATCATCCCGCTGCGTCGAGAAGCGTCGTAGGAGTGCAGCACGTAGGGAGCCCCGTCGCGACGGTCACGTCTACGTGTCGACGACGACGTCGTTGGTGGTGCGCCGGCCTGCCTCCCCGCGTCGCGGCGAACTTCTCCTCGCGTACCCACGTCGTAATCCCCGTGCAGGCGCGTACCTCGTCGCCACCGTGATGGCGGAGCTACCCGACATATCGCACCTCACTCCCGAGGAGAGGCGCATCATAGAGAGTGTTATGATGCGGCAGAAGCAGGAGGAGGAACAGGAGAACGAGATCATGAGGTAAGCGACCCGTGTATGCATGCGTGTACCTCGTGCCGTGCAGCCGCGTCCCGAAAATTCCGTCCGGGCACGTGACGATCGCTCGCGTGTCCTCTCGCATCGCGGTTTGCGGCGGAAACAGCGAATTGCACAATCGTACACAGGACATCAATAATGCCTCCAATATAATCTCAATAGACCAGGGTATTTCGCATCGTATCTCTGCAGAGAGAATTTTACAGTAAAAATTATCGCGAGTTTTGGTGAATAAATTCACATTTTTGCAGTAATCCTTTCATTTCACATGTACTACTCATATTTTAGGAGCTGTGAAATGTGCTATTAGGACAATTGCTGTTAAGATAATTTCTAACGAAACTTACTATGTCCCTCAACAAAATAGACCTTACTGACAGTCTATTCCTGGACTATTAAAAATGTAGTAAAATTGAAAAGAATTTATTTGAATAAAAACTACATTCTCTTTTCATGTGTGTATTTTTGTATCATGACCGTTGGTTTTGAGAAAAATCGCCAACTCAGTCACATCAAATGCAACAGTAATATTACATAATACATTCACCGTGTGTTACTGTTGCATTTAATGTGGCTGAGGTTGAGGTTCTTCTCAAAATTAACAGTCATGATATAAAAACACGTAGATACAATGCACCCGAGCCAAAATACCCTGGGCAGAAATGAAGGGCATTATCGGAGTGTGTCTTTTCGTTTTGAAATTTTTCCAGAGAAACTTAAGTAAAGAGAAACCAGAGTAAAGATAAAGCGGGGATAAAGCAAGAGAGGAATAATTCGGAACTTTCGCAACGCGAGAGATTTTTATTGAAACCTAATTTGCACGGAATTAATGAGATTATTGATTAATGACCGATTCTATATTTGAATAGCGACAACACGTGTCGATGGTGATCGTTACTTGTCGTTCTTCTTTCCAATGCAAGTTAAATCGGCGGAGGCAGATCGATTTGCACGCGGTTAATCTCGGCGAAACGAAATGCGTTTGCCCGACAGCGGGACTTAAAGCGCGAATACTGGCTTGCGGCTTTTTCGTCGCCGCGCGAGCGTGGATTCGGAACTATCGATGAGGCTATTGTTTTACAAGCAGGACGCCGACTTTCACACGGGTATTTAGGACTCTCTGTTGCGCTGGATATTGTTGGGTCGGTCAAATGGCCGTAATAACATTCGCGTGCCGTGACGCATGCGGTCGCCCACGATTGTACACCGTGCTTTCGATAATTTTGTTGGCCATTTTTATGTCGCTCTCAATATGCCTTCGCCGGCGAAACCGTGAAACCGCACAGTGTCGTACGGCAAGTATCGAGAGCATCGAATTGGATTCAAAGACTCTTATTTCCCGCGGCTCGCAGATAATTGATACGGTGATCAATCGCGACATACATTGAAACATTCACGCGGATTCGCGCATGAACATTCACGCGAATTTTCGATCCGCATAAAAGATATTGTGTATTTTGTGTACTGAGAAAAAAAATACTTGAAAATTTATTTGTGAGATATGAAGCTTATTTCTGTGAAATAAAAAATTTATTTAAATTTATGCTCCACAAATAAATTTTCAAGTATTTTTTTTCTCAATGTGTGTGTAAAAAAGATGTCTTTTTATCTTTGAGTATAAAAAGCCGTTTTATAAAATTAACTTTTCATTATGATTGAAAAAATAATTTTCCGACATGCATATATTGCGAAAAAAATATTTGAAAATTTATTGACGGGATGTAAAGTAGATTTTTGCGAAATATAAAGTTTATTTCTATGAAATAAATTTCTATCCCGCAAATTTTGCTTTAAATTTTCAAGTATTCGTTTCTCAGTGTATGAAAATTAAATGGGACGATTGTTCCTCGTATAAAGCAGAGAAAAAATTCGGTTGAATTAATCCGACAATGAAAGCGAATCAAACGCGTTTAGGTTGAAGGAAACCGAATTTCCGGTCCTCATCGATCGAATTCGCTTCTAAGAACCGGGAATTCTCTTTTTCTCCTTTTTTAGACAAACTTCCTTCTCCGTGTATGTTAAAGTTTGCAATTTACGTATAATACTCGAAAATACCTGCGAGCCGGGAACTGGAGTCGCGCGACAAACGACTCCTCCCATCGTTAATCCGATCGGCTTGACGATCGTCGCTAACCGACTTAAAAGCTGTCGAAATTAAGTGATACGAAGCGTTAACGGTCAGCCGCGCGTGGACAGAGGCGCGAAGTGAGACGTCGTTTAGTTACCGATAACCACAATTGGCAAACGGACAAAACGACAACTGATCGATCGGATAGAGATATTTCTTGACCAATGAGTCCGCTCCGGCTCGTTTCACCTATTTTCCCGGCTCACCTGCTCGTTAGTCCTTGACCGCTTTACACCTACATCTTCCATTTATGTATCCACGGCCCTGCACATGCTCCCGATTACCGCGCCG